TAAAGGGAGTTTCTTTCCTTACCTGGGAGTTCTCCATACCAATGAAACTATAGGTCCAGCTCTTATCACTAATATTATAGGAACTCTTTCACTTTATATCAACTCAATATACATTTATCTTACTCCTAATTACCATCTCCAATTCAAGAGAAGAAGTATCACTCCTCTTCTCAAAAATATCACCTCTTCTATGACTCCAATTTTATGTCCTTTTTTTCTTTCCCATTCCCAGGACATTGAGCTCACATAATTATCTTCATTATTTTCAATTTCTCCTTCACCACTGATTTATGTACTGCCTTCAAACATGCATAGATATTTCCATCTTAGAAATAAAAGAAAACCTTAACTTGACTTTGATATCATTTCAAGTTATTCTTTCCCTTTTAGTTCATTATCATTGATGACCAAGTGGTCCCTACCTCACTACTTCCTTAACCCCAGGCAATACCAACTTATTCCAATCTCTTCTGGCCAAACCAAATGGCCTTTTCTAAGTCTTTAATCTCTACACTTATCAGACACTATTCATTATTCCATATTGTAATATTTTATTTTCTTGACTTTATTGATACTATAATCTTATTCTGCTATTTCTCCAAAATTCCTCTGTCTCATTCTTTCTTGTCCTGGTTCTAAACTATGCCAAGTGCCCTTTGCCCAAGTCTAAGCCTCAGGCTTTTTTTTTTTTAAATCTCTGTGTAGAGTCCATCTTTCAAGTCATAATTCCTTGAGATTAGAGACTGTCACACACATATTTATAGCCCTTTTAGTATCTAGCACAGCAAAGTTGGGTACAGTACAGTTTTGTTACATTGACTGGAAATGGTTTCAATTATTATCTCTTTGCTTACCCTCATCACTTACCTTGCCCTAATCACACCCAAGCTAACTAATTACCCTTTATGCATTGAAAACCTTGTTTCTCATCTGTAACCCTTTGCTTATGATATTCCTGTTACCTGAAAAGCTCTCTGAGTTCCACTTTATATATAATCAGTGGTTTTCAAAGTGTGGTTTAGGAATACCTGGGCATCCCTAAGAGTCTTTCAGGTGGTCTATGAGGTCAAAATTATTTTTGTAATAATACTAAGGTATTTTGATTTCTAAAGTTACAAACACCAATAGATACAATCAACATAAAGAAAAACTCTTTTCAGGGTCCTCAAATATTTTTAAGCAGGTAAAAGGATACTGAAACCAAAAAGTTTGAGAACTATTTATCTGTACAAATTCTGTTATCCTAAGTTCATTTAAAGTCTTACTTCATTCATGGTACTTTTTTCTGATCATTCTTACTCATTCTGATCTCTTTTATCTAAAATTTCACAATATTTGTTGTTTTATCATAAGTTAGGGTAACTTTTAAAAAAGTCAATTTAAGTCAGTATTTTATACAGCCTTGTCTTTTTCTTGAATGGTTTTAGCTTACTCTCCCTGTGATCATAAGTTCAATAACACAATGACGAATATGATGATGATGACGATGGTTATGATGATGATGATGATGTTGATGATACAGTTCAATGACACATTGTATAGTGTTGGTAATGTAGCAGGTATTCTCAAAAATACTTTTCAGAAATCTAAAAATCTTAATGTTAATAGAAAGTTATTTCATAATTTGAAAAGTAAGACACTTTCCTATAACTTTGACCCATTGGTTTCAGTTTCAGGACAATATAAGTAAGGACAGAGTTTTTTTCCCACGTGACAGACCTTCAAACATTTAATAAGAGCACGTAATGAACAATAGGGCAGGAAAGGATATTGGAACTGATTAATCCATTCAATTTCTTTCATATAATACTGAGGAAAAGTTAATGTTTGAATTGAGTTGAACTGAACTAAAATGAATTGAATTCAACAATTCTCACACTGAAAATGCCTGTGTGCAACTAAAATTTTGTGATTCAATTTTTAAAGTT